CACCCAACCTTTGGTGCCTTCTGCCATGTAAGAACCACCACTTAGAGAGCGTGCCTAAGCATGTTAGTGAATGAGCTCTTTAAGACTCACAACAACCCAACCAAGCGGGTTTCATTATTCTCCCCATTTTACAGAGGGGAAAAGTGCAGCAAGGTGAAGTGACTTGTTCAAGGTCAAACAAGCAGGGAAGGGGTAGTGCCAGGACCTGCAACTCAGTTCTTCCTGACCCTAAGAACGATGTTCTCACCACTAGACAACACGGTCAGTGTTGCCTCAGAGTCTGGTTTGCAAGTTCATAGTCCTGCCCTCTTGGGAAATCCTGTTTCCCCTGTTCTGATGTCAGAGCAGATAGAAGGACCCTGTTTACCATCCCCCTCCTAGTGCACCCTGGGGTATCCCTTCTCAGGTAAAAATCATCTCTCTTCCTCTATCATCTCTCTAGTTTTCTTTCTTCCTCCCTCACAATGGGAGACAAGTCCACATAAATCTCTCCATGCATATGTCTGCAGAATTGCAGAACTTTGTGAAGGTTTCCACAACCTACTGGCTGGACCACAGTCGGTGTGCATGTCTGGAGGCATGTGTACGTATCTTGAGGTACTGTACTGTAGTGGGGAGGACAGGGGCTTTGGAGTCAAACCTGCAATAAATTCCTGGCTCAAATTGAATAACATGGGAAATGCCTAGCATCACACCTGGTACGTGGGAAGCATCGGTAGCTGGGCGTTATTTTCATTTGTGTGTGCATGCACCTGTGTGTCAGGTATTCGTGATTGCTGGTCCTGAGCCCACAGACTGGACAGGGACATGCTCTCTATGGTCTTGTACAAGAGCCAACAGTATGGAGAAAGAAATACCACCCTACTCTGCAGATGCCCCAGTGCCTGCTGGGAGGATGCTGCTGTTTGTGGCGACTGTAAGTTGCCATGGTGATGGCTGGGTTGAGGAAGATGCTCTTGCATTTCTTCTGAGCGCGAGGAGCATGCACGTCCTTCCTGGTTGCTCCATTTGCAGGAAAAGGCTAGGAGTGTCAGCCCAGGATAGCATCAGGAGCCCCCACGCCCACCCCATATACCTCAGTGTCACCCTGAGAATGCTTGGAGCCCTCCCTGGCCTCCCTCCAACCCTGCTTCTCTCTCTTTCTCTCACAAACACGTACACACACACACACACACACACACACAGACATGCACACACTCCACTGTTGCAGCTGGACCTTGTTCTGTACCTCAGTGTCACCCTGAGAATGCTTGGAGCCCTCCCTGGCCTCCCTCCAACCCTGCTTCTCTTTCTCTCACAAACACGTACACACACACACACACACACACACACACAGAGACATGCACACACTCCACTGTTGCAGCTGGACCTTGTTCTGTAGGAGCTAAGAGAGTGGTCATTCCCAGGCCCTCAGAGTAAGGTCAGGGGTGTGTCCTGGCCTGGCATCCAATGAGAGAGAAAGATGAACACTGCTGGCCAAGGCATGGGCCTGGCAGGAGCTGGGTCGGCCTGGAGAGGACCTTGTTCTAATTTGCACAAAGATGCCACAGAGGCTGAGAGTTTCCTGAGCACATTCCACACAGAGGGATACCGAGGGAGGAGATGGGCTGCCAGACCCCTTCTCCATCTTTGCCGTGTCTGGGCTCTATTTTGTCCCGTAGGCCTACCTCACACCCAGACCAAACACTTGACAGAGACACAAAGAATTAGCCTCTGAGGCAACTTGACTTAGCCAATAAAACAAATCATTGAACTTTTAGGTTACTATTATCATCATTGCAAAGTAGCTTGTGTGTCAGACACCTTCACCCCATCCCTGATCCTCGGGGATGGGGAAGGGTGAAGGTCAGGAGTCGGTGAGGGGGGGAGGTGAGGTTAATTCCTTTGTAAGTGCAACTTACTCATTTTTAAACTAAAATGTAAAAATTCCCTTTGGACTCATGGGCGTGAATGTCAAATCGCCCTCCCAGCCTAGGCAAAGTGTATGCAACATCTGAGCTCCAGAGGCCTTCCTTTTATATGCATGTAAATCCTCATGTCCTGGGCCAACAGCTGCACCTCCAGGAATGTGCCTGTCACCCAGGATTGTGGACGACAGCCACAGACTTCTCAAGAGCACCCACCCACCAGACCCATCCTGAACTGAGCTTCAGAGAAGCAGGGTGGCATACCCAAGATGACCACCAGGAGACACTGCTGGGGCACAGCAGGAACTTTAGACTGTAGCCTCTGCAGGATCCATCCCTGCCTAGAGGAGCTAAGAGCAGATTCTGGTCATCCCCCAGCAAATCGAGTCCTGTCCTAACCTCCGCCCTGGCATGCCCCAAACCTACCCTATGCAGAGGCTGCCTGGAGTCAGATGTTCTTCCCTTAACCTCTCTCTGCAGGCTCCAGCTAGTCATCCCATCCCTGGACCTTAGCCTCCCATCTCTCCAGTGGTGGGGTGGGACTGAGTCACTTCCAAACACTCTTGTGACTCTAATTTTTGGTGAGTTTTTGTAGGCTTTGGGATAGTCCTGTCCTCCTCTGCTGACTAGGTAGGGGGCTAGGGTGGAAGTCTTTGAGAGAAAGATTGGGAAAAGAGGGCACAGTGGAAAGTAGGAAAGAGTCCCTTTCTCTGTGGCTGCTAGGACATTAAGTTCTAGGGTCCCACCATCCCCTCTCTATGCCCCAGGGCTTAGAGCATTAGTGACCTCCTGAGGCTGGCCACCATGTGGCTTAAACATTTTTCCCTGAAAAAAAACAAAGACATGTGACATGTATCCATCTACTTTTTTTAGTGTATTTTTTGAAATTTTTAAAAATTTTGGTAGCATCCATCTGTTCTTGAAATGTTCCTTAAGCACCTACTACACACAGTCACTGTGCTTAATGCAGAGATGCCCTGTGATATATCGAAATAAATATGAGTTTCTTCCTGGGCTCAACTCTGCCCTGGGCTACATGCTAGGCATGTGACCTTGGGCAATTTACTTGATGTCTCTGAGTCTCAACTTTCTCATTTGTAAGATGGGACAGTAGCACTAATCTCCCAGAAATATTGTAAGGGTTCAATTAAATGATGCAAGCAAAGGGTCTGGCACATACAGAAGTTTCCGAGTAACTCACAGTCACCTTCCTCTCTGGGAATACACACCCCTGGGAGATGTGTCAGATCCATAGAAAACATCACCCTGGCCCAGAAAGCTACATTTTGGCACCATGTTCTTGGTCCCCACATAGGCATTTTAGAAATAAACACACACACACACACACTTTCTGATGCTGTCTGTGTTCCATGCCAAGCCATCAGTTAAAGCCACAGAGCAGCTCACGAGGTGACACTTGCCAGGATAAATAGGCATTGGCAGCCACAGAAGTGACGCCAGGGCTGGGGGACAGAGCTCAGGCCACTGGCACAGAAGCCTGCCATTTGTCCCTGCCCTTTGCCACCAGCTTGCAAGCCTGGCCTGGATACATGGTACTGACCATGAGAGGACCTGGGGAGTAGGGGAGGTCCTCCAGGGAGGGAAGAGGAGAGATGGCTGGGCCTGGGTGTGGAGCTGGTTCTCTGAAAAGGTTCCCAAAAGGCTCTGGAGAGGGCGGCGCAGCCTGCCCCCTGCCCGCCCCACCCAGACAGTCGAAGCAGCCGCCTGCCAGCCGGCCTGAGCTTCATCTTGGGGGAAAAAATACCTCTTGAAGGGATTCAGAAATGTTCCCTTTGGCAAGTAAAAGAACCTCACACTGTTGATGAGTCTGGATGGGAGAGGGAACCAAGGGGGCAGTTTGGCTTGCTGCAGAGGATTGCTGAGGGTTTGGGGATGGGAGAGAGTCAGCACCCCTGAGTTCTGTGTTGTGTGGCCGTCCTCTTTCTGTCGGTCCCCCACTCTCCTGCAGGTTGTCTTTCAGGGAGGCATTGAGGGATTTGAGTCCATTCAGTGACTTTAGGTCCCAAAGTAAAAGATAAACCTTGGGGCAGGACCAGGTCCTCTTCATTACAACGTACTCAGTGCCTAACGTGGTGCCTGACATAAACTGTGTTTGATAAAGATTTATTGGATGGGCCAATGGAAGGCAGAAGAAAGTTCCTCCGGTTCCTTCATGCTCAGGCACCCGTCCGTCATTTGAAGTTTTCACCCTGGAAAGGGGATGGGATGAATTTCTGTTTGCTGTTGCAGGTTCTCATCTGTCCAGGCTAATATCATGCTGATCATTTAGGATCCACGGACGGGGGCCGTGCCCAGGCATCCTCCTTACGCAGAATGGTGTCCTTTTTGTGGGGACTTCCTGGGCTCAGTCCACGCTCCAGAAAATGACTGCTACTCCCCTCCGCTTCCCCGCCAGCCACCTCCCCTTTAGGAGGCTGTGTCTGAACTGTGTTCTCTAGACCCCAGAGCAACTCCTGATGTCCCCAGTCTGTGCCTGGGGCTCAGGTATGCAGAAGCCAGCTGGTACCAGCTCCCTAGAGCCAGTTGTTAGCATCTCTTCCTAGCTCTGTGGTCAGTGACGTCATGTTGGTAGATTGAAAGCAGCCATGGTAGGAGTATTTATACCACAGAAACTGGCACGCTGCACATCAGGGTGTCCCCCCCCACCCCACTCCAGGAGCCAGTTATTAAATACTGACCAGCACACCACTGAAGAGGGGGCTTCAGGCAGATGTTCCAGCTGACCTCCCATGAGAAACCTTGACCGTGACCTCTGCTGTGAGAAGCAGGGCTTCCCCAGAACAAAGCCAGAGGTAGCGGAGGTTACTTGGGGTTCTGAGAAGAATGCACAGACACAGAAGGTCATGTCTGTGACCCCCTGCAGGGTCTGGGCTGCAGAGGACTCTAGGGCATGTGTCCAGGGCCTTTGAGAGGGTCTGCTCTGCCAGTCGTCTTTGGGGAAGGGAGGAGGCAGGTGACTAGCATGCTCTAAGAGCCGGCCCCTCAGGGACATGGTCAACCTCCACTTCCCTGACCCCCCGCTCTCAGCAGTAAGTCTTCGTCACTCACCCAGCTCTTCCTTCTCCCTTCCAGACCCAGAGTCCCAGAGAAAGAGGACAGTGCAGAATGTCCTGGATCTTCGACAGAACCTGGAAGAGACCATGTCCAGCCTGCGAGGGTCCCAGGTGACTCACAGGTAAGCTGGAGCTGCAGAAGGGATCAGACCCTCCACTGTTCTCATCCTCTCCCTGATCTGGAAGGCAGGGCCCCAGGGTCTCTCTACACCTCAGCATCAGCATGCAGGGTCAGCCAGGTGGCCTGCTGTGTGCACAGGTTTTCAAAGCCCCGTGGAGCCACTGCCGCAGGGAGAGGGGGATCCAGTCATCTCAACCAAAGAAGCTTGGCCTTGTCTTGTATCTGCTTGTGCTTGGGCGTTAGATTTCATTTAAGCAAGTCAGTTTGAAAATCAGTAGGTAAGGGACGAAAAGCCATCACACAGCTCAGTGTGTCGTCTTCCATACTCACTTTCCCTCCTTAGACCTCAGTCTCCTCGTCTGTCCAAAGGGGTGTACTAAATGCTCTCCTGTTCCGAAGTTTCCATCCTTCTGGGATTCCAGAATCGATGCCCTCTCAACACCAGCATCTTTCACTCTTCTGTCAGTTAGGTGCCCTCTGGCCTCTTCCACCAGGCACTGAGGGTGGCCTGAGTGCTCAGCAGGACCCACACAATGTCACCCAGCTCCACGCCCTGTAGGTGCGTCCCTCCAGCCCACCCCTTGCAGAGACCTCACAGCCTCCAGCTGCGTGGGGCATTCACCCCTCCCACAGCACCTCTCCCTGAGCAGCCCTGGCCACAGCCACTGCCTGACTCAGAATTTCCCCTGCTGGCTCCTGGGGCTGCCCAGATGAGCTCATGTTGTCAGCTCCAAGGGGGGCAGAGGGAGGAAGAGCAGACAGCCAGGATTGGGAAATCATGGGGGGTGTAGAGCCGGAGGGCTGTCTGACATAGAGAAGACTCCCCAGTAGGACTGGAAGTAGGTTCCTCCCCCTCTCCCGCGGTTGGGAAATTGAGAGCAAAGCTGGGATGTAGGGACAATGGAAAAGGCCTCTCTCAGTCCAGTGTGTGGCCAGGCCGAATAGTATCCAGACACATTTGCATACCTCTGGTGACAGAGAACTTATTACCTCGCAATCACGCAGTCCATTGTGGGATTGCTGGGAATGTTATGTGGAACTTCCCTCGTGTTCAGTAGCTTTCATCCAGTGGCTCTAGTTCTTTCTACAAGACCACCCTGCTTCTTCCTTGCACCACTCCTCCCCCATCCCCACCCCCATCTGGACACTCAGCCCTTTATGTTCAGACATCTAGAATATTTTAAACAATAAGGTAAATCAAAGCCTATACTCTCTGGGATTGCCTCTGCTCAGGCCACCAGGACCCTGACTGCTGAAAGGGAGTTGATCAAGTATGTCCTAGAAAAAACTGGATGGTGGGGCTCCAGGAGGGCCTGGGACTCAGGCTCCCTTACATCTTTCCCGCACCTCCATCCCTCACAGCCCTGAGCAAGAACCCAAGTGGGATGGAGGTCTGAATCTTGAACCTCTTCCTTCCCCCATCCAAGGAAGTTGTTGGAACATCTCTCAGCACCAAGTCACCGTCCAACCTCATGCCAAAGAAGCCAGAAAGTGCTTAGTTGCTGAGAGGGTTACACCCCAAGTGACTCAACCACAGGGAAGGGCAGGAGGAGCAGCTCCAGCCTTCGGTGCCACCGACTGTGCAGCCAGCCCCCAGCCCCCAGCACCCAG